GACTGCAGTGGGCACAGAGCACCATCCCCTGTTTGGTGTGAGGAAGGTCTGGTGCATCGTGCTTGTGGTGTTCACACACACACACAGACACACACACACACACACAGACACACACACACACACACAGACACACAACTCCCTTCTACTCACCCCATATGCCGACTTGCCCCTTAGGCCCATATACCTCTGCTCATGGATGCATATCTACACAGCTGCAACTTCCCAGCACCTGCCTGGGAGACCCACCACACTCTCATACACCTGTGTTCACCTCACATACCTCTCCCCATTGTGTCTCTCTCTGCCCTCTGGTTATTCTTGCTCACATGCAACCTCACACAAGTGCAATCAGCATCGCAGAGCTGGAAGTGACTCTCATTTTTATAGGTGAGGAAGCAGGGGTTCAGAGAGGGCAAGTCACTTGCTCAAGGTCACAAAGGGCCTTAGAGGTTCAGCAGGAAGAAGATCCAGGTCTCCTGCCTTCCAATTGAGTACTTGAAATTCGGTACCAGACTATCTTGTTGCTCTCACATGTGTGTACACACACACACATGTGCACACACGCATAGGGAAACATGCATGTGGAGGTATGGAAACCCTCGCACCAGGGAGACCGCCTCCCATTCTCCTCCAAATGTTGCTCTGCCCCTTATATCACCCCATCCAGAGCCCAGCCGGATGTGGATAAACCATCCCCCTGCCTTCCCAAATTGTGGCTGACGGTTGCTCAGGCAACCGCCCGCCAGATTGGGGAGATTAGCTGAGGAATGTAGCTGGGCCAGTTTTTGCTAAGGCTAGGGGAGCTGGTGGGGGTCCTGGGTTGGTTCAGCCTATGCTTTTGCTCTCAGGAAGTCCTGCACGGAGATGGGTCCCCAAGGAGAGTCCCGGTCTTCTCCCTGATTGTGGACTAATTGAGACTGTGTCCCCAAGGCTTGGACTAGGCTGGGGAAAGGGATAGTGTTGAGAGTGAGGCTGTGTGTGTATGCATGTGTGTGTGCTGTGCATTTCTCTGAGTATGATTGTAGTTTGTGCTGGTTGCATCCAGGATGGGGACCTGAGGCCCCTTTTCTCACCAGTTCCTGACATCTGACTTGGGGCCCCTGGTGGCCTGGTCTTAAGCACTCTCCTGATCCTGTTGTGCTCTCTGGAGAAGCTACCTGCCCTACTCTTGGCTTATAGGATGTATCACTTAACTCATCTGGATCCAGGCACTTCCCTGCTCAAACACTTACTGTGGCTCCCCAATTCAAAATGAGGCCGAACTCACTCTGCCACTTAAGGCCCTCTATGATCTGGCCTCAACCTCCCCTGCCTCCAGCCTCATCACTTGTTGCCTCAGTCAATGCGGGCTCCTGTCTGTGCTTTGGACAGACAGACTGTGTTTACTCACTGCCTTCTTTGCTCCTGCTGGGTCCTTTGCCTCAAATGCCTTTCCACCCATCTCTGCTGGCCAGAATGATGCCCATCTTTCCAGGCCCTTCCTCCAGGAAAGCCTTCCCCTCCACCCTGGACCCTCTCTTGTGGCCTTGGCCCTTCTCTGCTTTGTCTCATTCCCTCACCCTCACTCAGACTAGGAGGTCCCTGAGGGCAGGGTGGGGTCATCATCATCCTTGTGTCTCTAACAGTGCCAGCCTGAGACCTGCTTTGTACTGTCAGGGAGCAAATGTCCTGTGAATGAAACTGAACTAACACATGTGGCCAACAGACGATCAGGGACTTATTTTGTGTTTGCCTAGTCCCCTTGAATCAAGATAGGTGGTTTAAGTCTGAGCTTCTGCACATTGCAGCTGTGTGGCTTTGGGCAAGCAACTGCATCTCTCTGAGCCTGTTTCCATCTGTAAAACAGGAATAATGATAGCACCTACCGTCTGAGCTGCTGTGAGGATTCATCCGCCCACATGGTCATAGTGGTAATGGGCAGCTCCCTCGTGGTACTCGTGTGTGTACCTGTCTGTGCCCACGTCTGTGTTGGTGGAGTCTAGAGGGATTCCTTGCTACCATTCTTGCTCTGAACTCAAACTTGGATTTAGTTTTCTTTTCCCTGGGGCTAGCAGCTGCCAGCAGGAGTTGGGGCTTTAGCAGGAGCTGGGCTTTGGGGTGCCTGGCTCCTGAGCTGCCTGGGCTGGAGGTAATAGGGGCTCTTTCCAGCACTGGGAAGGGCTGACTGTTCCTAGGGTGAGCTGGAGAGGAGATGGGGGGCTCTCTTTGAGGATCCTGGCCCAGAGATACAGGGCTGGCGAAGGACATGGATCAGGGAGAGGGAGCCATTCTGGCCAAGGGGTCACTCTGGATGTGGTCAGTCAGCTCAGGATGTCACCCTGGCTGGGGATCAGTTGTAGGGGTTATTGGCATAGGTCAAGGATCACTCTGGCTGGGGTCACCTGGTCTAGGGTCAGTCAGTCAGTCAGTCTGGTGGGAATTCTGTCTTAAGTCAGATAGTCTGAGGGTCATCTGTGTGAGCTGGGAGCCACTGTGACTGAGGTCAGTCTATCTGGGGGTCACCAACTTGGTTCAGTCAATCTGGGGGATCATATGACTGGAGTCAGTCAATCTTGGGGTTACTCTTGCTGAGGTCAGATGGTTTGGAGTCACTTTGAGCAAAGAACTTGGTTAGGGTGTCACTCTAGCCAGGTCAGTCAGTCTGGGAGTCCTGTAAGTCATGTGGCCTGGCTCAGGATAGACAAGAGGAAGCTGGAGCTCCCAGGCTTGCCCCAGGGCCATGGGTGAGTCATCCTGGGGCAGCTGCCTTGTAACTTGCCTTGTAAATTGGGAAGGAACAGGAAGGGCCTGAGCCCCAGCCAGGCCTCTAGCTCCTGGGCTTCCCTTTCTGGCAATCCCTCTGCCTCATGGAGGCCTTGGCTAACACTCTCAGGGGCAGGCCCAACTCAAGCTGAAGTCAGCTGTTCCTCTCCTCCAGGAAGTCTTCCCTGACCACCTCTACTGGCCATGTCCTCTCTCTATGCTGCACTGTGGATCTTTTCCTATAGGGAGTGCTGAGGCCCTCCCAGCACAGAGGGGGTTAAAACCCACCTCCCACAGGCCATAGGACATGATGCTGACCAGGGCTTTTTAAACAAAGAGGCAAAGAGCTCAGCCAGGGTCGTGCCCCAGCTCTGGAAAGAGTGTTCTGTTATTTCATCCCATGTGCATGGTGCCAGCCTCACACCCACCTCTCATCTGTTCACACTCTGATGGGGTCCAAGAAGTGGAAAGGGAGACCCCAACAATGGCCAAGCCCCCTGTGCCTGGCTTTGCTGGGTGTGTTTCACATGCTACTTCACGTTATCCACATAACAACCTAAAGAAGCAACACAGCCTCTTAAAAATGAAGTCACTTGCCTAACACTGTGCCTGGCATGTGGCACTCACTCCCCAGTTACTCTCTGTTCCCTCTCCTCTTCTGTAGACTGGGAAGTGGCTCAGGCTTGCTCTTTCTCATACTGAAGGCTTTTCCAGTGAGAAGCATGGACTATGGCATCGACCGACATGGGTTCAGATCCTGCTTCTGTTCCTGCGTAGGCTCAAGTGGCACATATCAAGAGCTGCTATTTCCCTAGTGCTTACATGTGCTAGGCATTGTGCTAATGGACCGCCACATTGAATCCTCAACAAGCTCACATGTAGATAGGGAAACTGAGGCTCAGAAAGAGAAGCTACCTTCCTACAGTCACAAGGGTTGGCGAATTGCAGAGTCAAGATTCAATCCCAAGTCTGTCTACTGCCAAAGCCCACTTGCTGATCTACCACGTGGTACTACACGAATCCCTTCACCCCTCAGAGCAGAGCCTCAGTCACCTCATCTGCCAAGTGGGGAGAAGAGTCAATGGCTGGCAGGCATTCAGGATGGGGCCTGGCATGATTTGTGCCTGCTTTCCTGCTACTTGCTCAGGCATTTTCCTGGGGCTCAGATGCCTCAGACTATTCCTGAAGGGGCTCCAAACACTAAGGCTCGGGAGTGAATGTAGGGGACCAGTTTGCAGATCTTTTCTGAACCAGTGGAGTTCTCAGGTGTATTAGGTGCCCAACCCAGGGCTCTGATGAGCTAGCTAAGATACATGGATGTCATTACCAACCAAAGGACTCACATCTATTTCAATCCCTCTTTCCTTTCTCCCCTTCTCATTTAAACTGTAAATAGTGGTTGCAAATCATGGAAATTTGTCTTTGTCATACATGTGCCCAGTCCATTCATAACTATGCTTTTGTGTGTCACATTCCTGCAGGCAGAGACCTAAGTTGGCTGACTTTGGGCAACGACTGAATCTCCTTGACATCTGTCAAGTTGTAATAACAGTGGTACCTGACTCAGAAGGTCACTACTAAATGAGACTCTGTACTTAGAGTGTTTAGCATTATACCTGGCTTTTCCTAAGCACAAGATGATTGATGTTGATTGTTGTTATTTTTAAGATGATACTGTTGGGCTGGCTTAGGGCATTCATGATCCCACCAGGCCCAGGGACCACTGTCTGTCCTCTATGTGAACATGGAGGGCCAGGTGATGGACCACTGAGTAGTAGTTAGGAGATTTTGATTCAAACCTTACCTCTGTCACTAGCTAGCTGTGTGACTCTAAGGAAGTCACTTAGCCTCTTTGGACCTCAGTTTCCTTATCTGTAAAATGGGGATAATTTTAGTCCTGATCTTATAGGTTGTTGTAAAGTCCCAATGATATAGCAATAATGATAACTAGTTTTTACTGAGGAGGGTCTTCGATGGGTGGTTGGGCAGTGGGGGATTCTGGGAAGTACTGGAAGAGTGGGCAGTGTGGAGAAGTCTTGGTATCGGAAGGAGACATTGAGGGGAGGGTCTTGAGAGGGAGAGGGTGGAGGAGGGAGAGTTTTGTTAGTGGGAGGGAGCAGGGGGGGAAGAGCCTGAAGAGAGGGAGGGGATGAGGGTGTGCCTGGGTAGAAGGAGGGGAGAGTGGAGGCCACCCTCCAGGAGCCCTCCTGGTCAGCAGCCCTGCCTAAACCTGGGTTAATCAGACCTTGCCCTCACAGCTGGCTGTACCTTCGAGGAGGTGAGTGACCCGGCAGTGCCCTGCGAGTTCAGCCAGGCCCAGAATGATGACTTCCAGTGGGAGCAAGTGCGGATCCACCCTGGCACCCGGGCCCCTTTGGACCTGCCCCACGGTGAGCCTACTCTCCATCACCATTCCCTCTTCTTTTCTTTCCAGGGGCAGTTCTACCCACCTACGGTGTGACCTTGGGCACGTTACTTAACCTCTCTAGGCCTCATCTCCTTTTGCATCTGTAATGACATACATGACGCTGAATGTGGAGCTCTCTGGACCCTGTGTAATTGTGCATGTTAAGTTTCACTTGTAAAATGGGCGCATGTTCAAGTAATCAAAGGCCCTTACAGCTGAAACTTAAACCCGCTCCCCATTACTTCCCTTGCAGCATAGCTCAGGATCCATCCCACTCGCATCAGGTCTTCTTAAATGCTCTACCTTCGGGAAGGCTCTCTTCATAGGTCTCTTGTCCCTGAGAGCCTCTGAATCCTGGTCTCCCCAGGACTTGAAGATGCTGACAGAGCAGTGACAGTGGGGCTGGATATGTGTAAACCTTCCTTCCTCTGCCTTCTTCTTCTGGAAGTCCCAGATCCTTCTCAACTTCTACCTTGCTCTGCCCCTATTTCAGAATGGGACACTTTTGGCATCCTGAGCACTGGACTAGGAGTCAGGGGACTAATTATGTGGATTCTAGTACTGGCCTCCTACTGTGATGATGACCCCTAGAGCATTTGTTCCAGAGAGATGAAGACCTGGATTCAAATCCTGGCTTTATTGCTTTACCAGCTGTGTGGCCTTGGGGAAGTCACTTAACTTCTCTGATCCTCCATTGTTTTAGCTATAAAATGGGGAGAACAATAATCTATCTCTCAGGGTTATTAGATAATGGCTACAAAGTGTAGAGCACAGGGGCGGCATGTAGGGACTCAATTAGTAGCTAATGTTGGGAGTATTTGAGGGGGCCCAATTACTAGTACTCCACTGGGTACAGAATCAACTGGGAATTAAGAAAAGGAAAAGACAGGTGGAGGCCAGATTATCAATCTTATTACTGATAAGGGCTGTGTCAAAGGACATAGATAGTGTGAGAACCAAATGGTCTTTCTGAGTGAACCCCAGAATTGGACAGCCTGAAGACCCCCTTCCCTTGCCCTATCACAGTAGTAGCCCAGGGCCACTTTACTGCTCAGCTCACAGCATGGCTGAGATTGCATCTACTGCCCAGGGCAGCAAAGATTCTCAGTGGTGGGGCCAGGATTTGAAGCCAGTAGGAGAGAGGGCCTTCATTTCCTGGCACAGGTAGCCTCTGCAAACTGGTCTCCTGTGCTTAGCCTGCCTCCCCCTTCTGTGCATTCGCTTACACTGTGCCCTTCCTGGGGCATTCACCTCTGCCTCTGCAGGGCTGTCATATCCTTGTTAGATCTTGGTACTAGCAGGTATCACAGTATGACTTGTCTGAGAATGCCCTGTAAAGGTACTCACTATGGCAGGAACCCTGTGTGGGCTTCTCCACATCACCAGAGCCCAGCCTCGGCCTTATAAACAGCTGGCACTCAGGACAAGATAGCTGATTTGGATAGAGTCCTGACCACCCTGTGTGGGCTCTGCCTCTCTTTCTGTCGCACATAAGCAGAGACACCCCCAGTGAGAAAGGGGAGAGAGAAACTTAGTGTTTAGTGTGGGCTTGTGCTAGATCCTGGGGATGCAGTCTGTGCCCTCCTGGTGCTCACATTCTAGGGAAGGGAGAGAGGGGCTGGAGGGTGCTGGAGAGGGAGGAAAAGAGGGAGAGTCACACTCAGAGAGAGCAGGAGAGAGAAGGAAGAGCAACAGGGACAAAGAGAAGGGGAGGGAGGATGCAGAGTGAGAGAAGAGAGAGGCAGAGGAAGCAGGAGGGAGAGGCGAGAACAAAGTGTCAGATTGGAAGGGGGAGAAAGAGACACACAGCTGTCACAGGGAGAGGAGAGAGGAAGCAGGAATGGGACAAGGGAGAGTGTGTTGGGGGCTGGGATGTGCCCTTTCCTGGGAGGGGACAGGGACCAGGAGTTTTGTTTACTACCCTGCCACAACTGATCCAGGAGCCGCTCCACACGGCTCTGGCTCTCTCGGCTCACAGAGATGAATGAGATCCCCTCTAGCAGAGTCCCTGGGGAACACTCTGGGAGCAGGGAGCTGAATGGGCTTGTGTTGGCTGGCAGCCAAGCCTGGGAGGAGGCAGCGCTGAGTGGCTGCGGGTGCCCTCGTGGCAGCTGCTGGGGCCTTCTCCCCTCAGAAGGGAAGCCATAATCCCCCAGTGAGGTCCCGAGGAGTCTAGTCCATGTCTACTCCCCCAGTGCACAGCCCGGATCTCTCGGGAAGGAGAGGGCTACCTTTCTCCAGGTTGAAAATCAAGAGAATTTGTATCCCAGGAATTTGGACTCAGAGAGTTGGGGATGGAAGGGAAGTTAAAATCCTTTCATTCAAACTCTGCTCCACATATTCGCTCATCCTGGGTTCAGAGCCTTTGCTGGGGACACAGAGGACCCTCAAGACTTCACAGGCTGGTGATGAGACAGACACCCACAAGAGAGAAGCCCACAGTGGAAAAGGGAGGCAGGGCTTTGGAAGAGGTGGCCTGTGAGGGCCTGTCTTGTGCCAGGCTCTTGATTCCTGACATGGATGACTTAGTCCCTGCCTCCAAGAATGGCTCAGAATTGGGGAAAGCTGTGGCCCAGGCCGGGCGTGACTTGGACTGTGACCTGTGGATGGAGAGGAGCCATAAAGGGTTTTGACAAAGACAGGTTTGTGTGTTTTTTGGTGCTCCAACTCTCCTTTGGGAAACAGACAGTGGGAAGTGAAGGGAATTACCAGCGAGTTAGAGCTGGACCAGAACTCAGAACCCCGGACTCCCATGGGTCCAAATGCTTGGAGGCCTTCGTTTCTGCCCCTCCTAACTACCCACCTGATTCTGGTCATCCCTTAAGGCCTCCTCAGCTCTTCCTCTTCCTCCTCTCTTTCCAGGCTCCTACTTGATGGTCAATGCTTCCCAGAACGCCCCAGGCCAGCGGGCCCATGTCATTTTCCAGAGCCTGAGCGAGAATGACACTCACTGTGTGCAGTTCAGCTACTTCTTGTACAGCCGGGATGGGCACAGCCCGGGTACCCTGGGTGTCTATGTGCGTGTTAATGGGGGCCCCCTGGGCAGTGCTGTCTGGAATATGACTGGATCCCAGGGCCGTCAGTGGCACCAGGCTGAGCTGGCTGTCAGCACCTTCTGGCCCAATGAATATCAGGTGGGCTGAGTTCAGTCTGTGTTTGGTCTGTGCCTGGGGGTGGTGGCAGGTGGATAGTGGCTTGTGGTCAGAGTAGGTGAGTGGCTGAGGTTAGAATTAGTCTGCATTCAGCATCAGGAGGTAATCTGTGGTCAAGGTCAGGAGTCAACCAGGGGCCAGTCTGGATTCAGCATCAGAGGTCATTGTTAATAGGAATAGCCTATAGCTGGGGTCAAGGATGAGTTGGAACAGTGCCAACCTGGAAACCCTATGTGGCTGGGAAAAGAGTTTTTCTGCTTGAAGGTAACTGTCCAGGACTGGATGGAACCTCTGACCTTTACCTTGTTTGCTCTGAGTGCTGACACCCCACCCCCAACTAGCTGGCTTGGTAGGGAGGGTCAGTGCAAGCTGAGCCTGACCTCTGCTGGTTGAAGAGGATCTGGCTGGGCTGAGCTGAAAGAGGGCTCTTGTGAGCACCTCCCCAGGCAGGACTGGAGGGATAGCAGTATAACAAGGGCCCTCCCACCTTGACTTCCCCCAGGTGCTGTTTGAGGCCCTCATCTCCGAAGACCGCAGGGGCTACATGGGCCTAGATGACATCCTGCTTCTTAGCTACCCCTGCGGTGAGTCCCAGTGCACTGGGGCGCAGGGGTGAGGGGTGCGGGAGGCCACAGGGGGCGCAGGCCCAGCTCACAGAGCGGCTGTATTCCTGCAGCAAAGGCCCCGCACTTCTCCCGCCTGGGAGACGTGGAGGTCAATGCCGGCCAGAACGCGTCGTTCCAGTGCATGGCGGCGGGCAGAGCGGCCGAAGCAGAGCGCTTCCTCCTGCAGGTTAGAGGGGACCTTGGCCCAAAAGGGGTGAGTGAGTAGCCTCTTCTGGGCCCTGGCTCTCTTGCGGGGTCTGAGTCTTTCTTTCATACTCCAGCGCCCATACACATGCGTCCCGGCTGTCCCCTAGGCTCCACTCTGCCCTCTCGGGTCTCCCATCACCCCAGGGCCGAGCACGGCTCCAGGAACCTCATATCCCCCCTGTGTAGTGGGGACTGTTAGATGGGGCCAGGACAATGACCCCCTTCAGCCCCGCCTTCGCCCGGGTCAGAGAGCGATCGGGACCCCTCTCACCGCGGGGCCTCTGACCCTGTCACCCTTCTTCCCCCGCAGCGGCAAAGCGGGGCTCTGTTGCCCGCGGCCGGCGTGCGGCACATCAGCCACCGGCGCTTCCTGGCCACTTTCTCGTTGGCCTCCGTGAGCCGCGACGAACAGGACCTGTACCGCTGCGTGTCCCAGGCCCCGCGCGGCGCGGGTGTCTCCAATTTCGCTGAGCTCATCGTCAAGGGTCAGCGCGCGGAGCCGGGAGGGGGCCGGGTCTCACGGGGTTGAGGTCTCATCTAGGGGACGGGGCAGGCGGGGGACAGGGCCGAAGGCACGGTCTAGCTGTGAGGCCCGAGTGCTGACCCGAGCGCGCATGGGGTCAGCCCCAGGAGGCGAGGACCTGGGGGATTCCGGGGCAGGGCGGTGGGGGAGAATGAGGGAGAGGGTGTGGGTGAGAGGTGAAGGCGGGGTCAGCCTTTGCAGCCGGGTGCCCCTTTGGACCTGGGGATTTAGTGAGGTCTTGGTAGCAGCAGGAGGGGTCTGGGAGGACAGGGAGGGCTCTTGGGGATCTGGGTGTGGTGCAACGCAGAGTCGGAGGCGGGGGTGTCACCGCGGCCCCCGACAGGATCGGTCTCTCCCCCACCTCCTCGCAGAGCCCCCCACCCCCATCGCGCCCCCACAGCTGCTGCGTGCCGGTCCCACCTACCTTATCATCCAGCTCAACACCAACTCCATCATTGGCGACGGGCCGATCGTGCGCAAGGAGATTGAGTACCGCATGGCGCGCGGCCCCTGGGCCGAGGTGCACGCCGTCAACCTGCAGACCTACAAGCTGTGGCACCTCGACCCCGACACCGAGTACGAGATCAGCGTGCTGCTCACGCGCCCCGGAGACGGCGGCACCGGTCGCCCCGGGCCACCCCTCGTCAGCCGCACCAAGTGCGCAGGTGGGTGTGGCCACTACCTCCTGGCCTCGTCCCTCCTCTGGTCACCCAGGACGGCGAAGGGGCGGAGGGGTATATTCCGAGAGGAGTATGGCCTGTTTCTGTGCTTTTAAAACTTGCTAAAGCATCGTGATTTTTCCTCAACCCCTGTTATGGTAAAGATAATGATAGCTAATACTTTGTGTCAGACACTTAAACACGGTGTGTATATACACACACACATTTCTCGATTTAAAACTCACACCACCGCCACGATATAGGTACTCTTGTTATTCCCATTTTACAGATGAGATTACTGAGGTACACAGCTGTTAAGTGACCGGCCCAAGAACACACAGCTAGTAAGTGGTGGGATGGGCTTGGAACCATTGACGCTGACTCTAGAATTTGTGTTCTTAATTCTTCATTATATTATTTAGATAAAATAAACAACGAAACACCATCAAATAACAGTGTTATAAATTCTAGCTGGATTCTATTGTCTGGGCATTGAGCCCGCAGTCTGCTTTTCCTTGTTAAAAAGGTTAAAGCATCTGTAAAGAGCTTGGTATACCTGCACCAGAGGAGAATTTTCTTTTTTTTTAATCAGAAGATAAATTGAGAACAGATCAGTTTTCTTTGTGATTTCTGAGTGTTTTTTTAAATTGGAATTTTTACCGAGATAAGTGTAGATTCTCATTCAGTTGTAAGAAATATAGGGAGATTTCCTGTACACTTTACCCTGTTTTCTGCAGTGGTAACATTTTGCAAAACTAGTATATCACAATCAAAATATTGACACCGATATAATCCACAGATCTTATCCAGACTTCCCCAGTTTCACTTGTACTCCTGTGTGTGTGCGTGTGTGTGTTTAGTTCTATACATTTTTGTGTGTGTGAGTGGCTGGCTGGTACAGGTATCTGAACTTGACCTTGGTGTTAGAGTACTGCACTCTAACCAACTGAGCCAACTGGCCAGCCTAGTTCTATACAATTTATCACATATATAAGTTTGTGTTTTCATTACAGTCAGAATATCCAATGGTTCGATCACCTGAAAGAGTCTTCATGTTGTCTTTTTATAACCACATTATGTTGTATTTTTATAACCACATTCACCTTCCTTTTCCTCCACTCCCCCCCCAACCCTTTGTAATTATTAATCTGTCCTTAATTTCTAAAATTTTGTCATTTCAAAAATGTTATCACCTTCCTTTTCCTCCACTCCCCCCCCAACCCTTTGTAATTATTAATCTGTCCTTAATTTTTAAAATTTTGTCATTTCAAAAATGTTATATTAATGAAATCATACAGTATTTAACCTTTTAAGCTTTTGGAATTTTCTTTCTTTTTTTTTTTTTTGGCAGCTGGTTGATATGGTGATCTGAACCCTTGACCTTGGTGTTATAATATCATTTTTTTTGTAATAGCTGTATTACAATATAATTCACATCTCATGTAATTCACTTATTAAAGTGTATAATTCATGGGCCGGCCCGGTGGCACACTGCTACAGTGTGCCACTTGGGAGCGCAGCAGCGCTCCCGTCGAGGGGTCGGATCCCACATACAGACCAGCCGCTCACTGGCTGAGCGAGGTGCGGGCGTGACACTGAGGGTTGCGATCCCGTTGCCGGTCCCGGTCCGGTTCGGGCGCGACACTGAGGGTTGCGATCCGTTGCTGGTCACGAAAAAAGACAAAAAGGAAAAAAAAAAATAAAGTGTATAATTCAGTAGTTTTTAGTATAGTCACAGAGTTGTGCAACCATCAACAATTAATTTTGGATTATTTTTGTTACCCCAAAGGAAATGTTATACCTTTTAGCAGCCACTCCCATTTAATTGGATAGAGACTTCTAGGTTGACAGGTCTTTTCTTTTTGTTTTTTGGGCAGCTGGCTGGGATCAAACCCTGGACTTTTGGTGTTATCAGCACCATGCTCTAACCAACTGAGCTAACCATCCAGTCACTCCCATTTCACCCTAACACCTCTAGTGCTAGGCATCCACTACTCTTACTTTCTGTCTATACAGATTTGCCTCTTGTGGACATTTCACATAAATGTATTCATACAATATCAAGTCTTTTGTGACTAGCTTCTTCCATTTAGCATGATGTTTTCAATGTTTATCCATGTTGTAGCATGTATCAGTGCTTCATTCCTTTTTATTACTGAATAATAATCCACTGAATAAATATGCCACATTTTATTTGTTCATTCATCAGTTGATGGATATTTGGGGTGTTTACACTTTTTGGCTATTCTGACTAGTATTGCTAAGAGTATTCATATACATGTTTTATGTGGATATATATTTTCATTTTTGGGGGGTATGTACCTTATATATCATATGGTGACTCTTTAACTTTTGAAGATCTGCTGAACTGTTTGCCAAGGCAGGTACCATTTCACATTCCCACTAGCAATGTATGACGGTTCCAGTTTCTCTGTATCCTTGCCAACGCTTGTTATTGTCTGTCTTCTGATTATAACCATCCTAGTGGATGTGACATGGTATCTCATTATGGTTTTCATTTGCATTTCCCTGATGGCTAATGACATTGAGCATTTTTTCATGTGCTTATTGGCCATTTATATTTTTTCTTTGTAGAAATGTCTGCTCAGATCCTTTACCACTTTTTAAGTTGGGTTATTTGTCTTTTATTACTGGTGTAAGAGTTCTTTATATATCCTGGATATTAGACTCTTCTAAGATATATTTGCAAGGATATTTTTTCATTCTTTTCCCTTTCTTGATGGTGTCCCTTGAAACATGAAGGTTTTCAATTTTGATGAGGCCCAAGTTCTCTATTTTTTCTTGTTGTTTGTGCTTTTGGTGTCATATCTAAGAAACCATTGCCTAATCCAAAGTCATGAGGATTTACCCCCCGGTTTTTTTCTAAGAGTTTATAGTTTTAACTCTTTAATTTTTATATATGGTGTAAGGTACTGTTCTTCCTTCATTCTTTTGTATGTGGGTATACAGTTGTCCCATCACCATTTGTTGAAAAGACTATTATTTCCTCATTGAATTATCTTGCCACTGAGATTAGCTTTTTAAAAAAAAGTTCAGCATAGTTCCCTAGAGATTCATCCAAGTTGTGTATATCAGTAGTTGATTCCTTGTTATTGCTGTGTAGTATTCTGTAGTGTGACTGTACCACAGTTTGTTTAATCATTCACCTGTTGAAGGACATCTGGAGTGGTTCCAGTTTTTGGCTATTACAAGTAAAGCTTCTATGGACATTCATATACAGGTGTTTGCGTGAATGTAAGTTTTCATTTTTCTGAGATTAATGCCAAAGAGTGCAATTGATGAGTTGTATGGTAATTGCATGTTTAGTTTAATCAAAAACTGCAAGAGTGGCTGTATTGTTTTACGTTCTCAACAGCAATGTGCGAGTAATCCAGTTTTCTGCATTCTTGCCAGCATTTGGTGTTGTCATTATTTTTTATTTTAGACTTTCTGAGAGGTGTGTAGTGATATCCCATCATGGTCTTAATTTACATTTCTTTAATGCCTAGTGATGTCGAACATCTTTTCATGTGCTATTTACCCTCTGTATATCCTCTTTGGTGAATTGTCTGTTCATGTCTTTGCCCATTTTCTAATTGGATTATTCATTGTTTTACTGTTGAGTTTTGAGTGTCCTTTATACATTCTAGATAACCAGTCTTTTGCTGGATGTATAGTTTATAAATATTGTCTCCCAGTTTATAGCTTTTCTTTTTATTCTCTTTATATGGGCTTTTACAAAGCAACAATTTTTAATTTTGATGAGGTCTAATTTATCAAATTTCCCTTTAGGAATTGTGCACTTGGTGCAAATTTAAGAACTACTTGCCTAGCCCTAGCTTTCAAGGATTTTCTCTGTTTTTTTTTTTTTTTTAAAGCATTATACTTTACATTTTATATTTAAATTCCTGATTTATTTTGGATAAGGTGTGAGGTTTAGGTCAAGGTTTATTTATTTTTGCCAATTGATATCCTTAAGTGTTTTTAAAACCTGGTCTGTGAATCGTCTAAAATCCATTTTAATGCCACCCTTTGGGAGACCCTTGGGTGGTGGGTCAGAGTGTTCCAGTGGGAACTGCTTTCTAGAGTCTGAAGCAGGTTACTTAACCTCTCTTAGCTTCAGTCCTCTTATTTTGTCAGGTGGGAATAATAATTATCTTTACCATGTAGGGTTAGTTTGAAGGTTCATTAAATGTTTATTGAATGACTATTATGTGCCAGGTGCTATTGTAGTTGCTAGGCTTATATGACTGAAACCGAGACAGATAAAAGCCTCCAGCAGGGGAGTTCCTCTTGGAACTCTGCATGGAACTCACATTCTGGCAGGAGGAGACAGATGACATGTAAGTAAACAAGTGAAATATACAGTTTGTCAGCTAAGTGCTATGAAGAGGAATAAAATAGGGAGGGGAGTGGGGGTTGGAAGGTTGTTATTTTAAAAAGGCTCAAGGGACTATCTTACTGAGAAGGTGACATTTGAGCATAGACCTGAAGGAGGTGAGGGACTGAGCCATGCAGAGAGCTGGGGGGTACTGGGGAAGGAGCATTCCGGGCAGACTGAACAGCAAGCGCAAAGGCCTGGAGGCTGGAGTGTGCTTGGCAAGTGTGAGGAGCATGAGGAGACCAGTGTCACTGCAGTGACTGGGTCAGTGACTGAGGGGGTGATGGCAGGAGAAGCTGTTGAAGTTGAGCTGGGATGGGGTGTCAGAGCCACTTTATGTTGAGTGAGCTGGGGAGCCGTTGTGGGGTTTGGAGAGCAGGAGTGAACATCACCTACTTTTGCTTAAAAGGATCACTCTGGCCCTTTTGTGGAAAATAGACTCTCGGGGGGCCAGGGTCCCAGAGGGGATACCAGTGAGGAGGCTACTATGAACATCACCTACTTTTGCTTAAAAGGATCACTCTGGCCCTTTTGTGGAAAATAGACTCTCAGGGGGCCAGGGTCCCAGAGGGGATACCAGTGAGGAGGCTACTGCAGTGATTTGGCGGAGAGATGGTGGTGGCTG